GGGCTGCTGGCTCATGTTTTGGGGCCATTGGTCAGGAGCAGTGACTGCTGGCTCTGGGATGGCAGGTTTGGAGCTGGCTCAGGCACAGTGGGCAGAGTCTACCCCTTTAAGGGCTCTGTGGAGGGGGGAGGAAGAGGAGGGTTGGTTGAGGCTGGAGTGGCCACCAGGGCACCTTGGGAAGGCTGGAGGCCCCCTATTTCGAAATAAGTGTCTACACAGAACTTATTTCTAAATAGCTATTTCGAATTTGGCGTTATTCCTTGTAGAATGAGGTTTACCAAATTCGAAATAAGTGGTTTGGCTGTGTAGACGCTAGTAAAGTTATTTCAAAATAAGGGCTGCTGTTTCAAAATAACTTTGCTGTGTAGATATACCCAGAGAGATCTGTGTGACCCAAAAGTAAGTCACTCGCTGTAGAGAGAAAGCACAAACTCATGAGATATCTATGACGGCTGTGTCTCAGCACGTTAATGCATTCACCTTTCACTCTTTGAGAAGTGGCTTCACATTTTGATACAATCCAAACTGAGAATAGTGAATTGTGCTATTATTCCATTCCCATATTACAACACTGCCGCAGGACTTAGCATCTCTGAATTTCAGCAGCTGAGTTTTAAAGGACAGTAATGAAAGAGTAAGTGGCACAATCCAATTAACTGCTAGCCTTTCTCCTTTTGCTGCTGTCTAACCTATATTTTTCAAAAGGTAAATTGCTTCAAGGTCAGAAATATTAATCCTAGATATTGTGGAACTGGCACTTTTCCTTTGTGAAGGAAACGCTCAGGCTGACAGTAGCCGTCTGAATTGTATGCAAAAGGTATATGAACATGGGGGTTTGGCTGGATTTGGGTGGGGAGGGAGTGAATTTAGATACAAGACCTGGCAGTGGATGTTAAAGGATTCTGGAATGCTTTTACACAGGGCTCTACTGATGATGTAGCAATAAGCTCCCTCTGGTGGACTAAAAGAGTATATAATTACTTCTTTTCCTTCTTGTCCCTTTCCAAAGGATTCCAAAACAGTGCAATCACACTAAAAAAGAAAAGGTGAGATTCCAAGCAGCGAAGGCTTTGATTACTACCATCTACAATTAACAGTTGCTGGGTAGAAAAAAAGGTTTCCCCCAAATCTCTAGGAAATATACCCCTGTTCAAGAGATGTATGTACGTTTTATTATTATTACTATATTATTATTACTGCTACTACTGCGATTTGGAGGGGGGTTAACTGGAGCTAGAAAAAAGAGCATCTGAGCGGAAAAAAAACATTTTTCCCCCTTCCCTTATAACTAAAAATGTGTTATTCCAATTTTCAGCAGTGCAAACAGCTGTAGCACTGAACTATAATTATAGTTTATAACACAGGCTTACTTAAGTCCAATTATGATGTTGCGAAGGCAACGCTATAATGAGCCGAAAGAGGAAGATGTACTACAATTTGTGTTTCTGAGAGAAGGTTGTCTCGTAGCAGGACTAACACTTGAGGTCAGGAAAATCATCAGAGCTTCTTCCTGTACATTTTTTGTCTTTGCATTTACATCCTGCAGTGCTTTTCCACGAGCAGGATTTTTATGGGGTGCAAAATTCAAGCTCTGCAGATCATCAACTCAGCATCTGCTACAACTGTGATTTGGTCGTCAGCCATCCAGGCAAAGTCACAAGGATTCAAATTAGAGCCAGCCTCCAGTCAAATGAATTTGTTTTTCTTAGGTTCCCCTCTCTTTGTATTTTCACCATTCCCTAGCCAGCCACGAGTGCATTTGCTACACAGTATTCAGCAAGTGTCTAAAAACATGCAGTCATCTTTTGCTAAATGGAAGGTGGTCCACGGAGGAAGTCTGCCAGGCAGACACTTAGGTACCTGTTTCAGAAATAGGCAGATTTCTCTCTTTCATGGCTTAGGTTACCATAGTGATAGCTGGCTTGTGTCACTGACAGGACTCTTGGCTTGAACAGGTCATGGCTACATAGGACAGATACTAGCCAGACAGCTGAGTGCATGACAGGAAGGCGTACCAATGGCACAGTGCCAGGCAGGCACAATGTTAGAACCCAAACAGAAAAGAACGGAGCAGCCCTAATGTTGTTCAATGGCACAGTGTTAGAACTCAAACAGAAAAGAACGGAGCAGCCCTAATGTTGTATCACTGCTGGTGCTCTAAATGCGGATAACCTCATTTCTACACTTCATTTTGGGTCTGAGCGACAGGAAAATGGAAATTAACTACCTGCTACCAGTATGTTAATAAAAGAGTTTCAGAAAAAAGCACCTCCTGTAGCTAGTGATAAAGGGATTGGGCCAAGTGTGTGTCTATATTGGGGGGTGGGAGGGAACAGAGACAAAGGGAAATCTTATACATTTGGTCTCCCATGAAAGACCATGCTCTCTGACAGCCGTTACTCAGGTTTGAAGGAGGCAACCCCCCAGGAAAGAGAGACTTCCATTAACTAATGCTTCTCCCTGACAATATTTGTTACACTGGAACTAAGGATGTTAAAATGCATTTAATTAAGTAACTGTGTAACCACTGAAAATTTCCCACAAAATTTCAGTGGTTACACGCAGGCTGACAGTCAGATTCCCTGCAGCTGGTACATGTCTCCGCTTCTGCCCCCGCCTACTGGTGCCTCTGATACAGAAGCAGCAGTGTGGGGGGAGGGGAGACAGGTAGCTCTCCAGGAGCTGATGCACGTGGGGAGCCACAGAGGCAGAGGGCAGCGCCTGGGAATAGCCAGAGGCATGGAGCCAAGTGGCTCACTCCATTCTCCTCATGCCCAGACTCCACAGAAAATTTCTGGAAAATTCTGTGAGCTGTCATATCCTATTTCTCAGAGTTGCCAGATTAAAGGAGTTTAAGTGTACTTTGTTCCTGAAAGCTATTGTGGGACTGGTGATAGCACTGCTCAGCCTTCAGCTTTTGTCACTAGAAGTACAGATTCAAGCCTTGTTGGAGCAAGACGAGGGAGGACTGGGCAGGTGGTGGGGCACATTTACACTGACTACTGCTCTAGCTCCCAGCATGCCAGACTTTCGGAAACATTCATCTCTTTATAAAGGAGTCCATCTCTTCTCTTCCTTCCACCCTGCTCCTGTGCACTAGCTGATTCAGGAACAATACCCATTTTGGGCAAGACGTGGCAGTCGAGGGGCACGCTCCATAACTTTTCTTCCCACAGAACGGGAAAATGCACAGGAGGGCACGTCTTGGCGTAGATCCAGCAATGAGAGGCAGAACCAGAGTATCTGGAGGTCAACAGTATTTCAGACACTGTGAAATTTATCTTGCTAATGAACATTACTCTCTGCTAGGAAGCAAATGGCAAGAGCATGCGAGAAGACTGCAAAATCCTTTCTTACTTACATATACAATCTTGGATCTGAGGTCAGAGAGTCAATGTTGATATGCTGTTCCAGTAGACTATAGGCGAGGATAGGTAGTGACGTGAAGCAGATGTTGTACATTGTAAGGTAAGCAGCATCATACAGTGGCTTAAAAACAGCAGAAGGGAGAGAAACATATTTACAGAAAAGCCCTTCTTTACTTTGAAAATTTCCCCATAAAAACAGAAAAAACCCTTTCCTATTCTCACCCTCCACAAACACAGGACAGTTCATATTCTAGTCAAAGCAACCAATAATGACTAATTTAGCCCAATTCATGCTTCGTGTAGTTCTACTGAAGCCAACTGAATTAAAGGCGAGTTGTGTTTGCCTTTACCACTGGTGCTTAATGACAGCTTAATGACAGACTGCTCCAACTGAAATCAAAAGCCAAATTCCCAGCAAGCTTGATGGCTGGCAGATCAAGCCCGATGATATTTTCAGAGTCCAAATAAAAATGAGGTTCCTTCTATTAATCCACCCCTCCCTTCCCTGCAGCCTCATCTGCAACTTTAATACGGGAGCTGGTAAGTCCTGTGTAAAAGCAACTGGCAAAGAAGTCTCAGAGTGACGTGGTTGTCGATCTGAGTATTCCAAAGAAGCAGGGAGCTCAAAAAGACAGTCCTTAGACACTTTCATTTTCTTCCTGGTCTTTTTGCCCACTTTCAGCGGGGGGGACCAGAAAACTGAGCTTGAGAGGCTCTGTCAGTGAAGCAAGCCTTATTAGGTTGTAATTAAAGACCATTTTTGCCCCTGGGATTAATAGGTTAAAGTGGCCTGTTTAAAATCTTGGACTCATTGTTTTAGGAGTGCACCACAGGAAGGTAGGAAGCAAAGCGATTTTAGAGCAGGCTGTTCCTACCTTGTCAACAGCTGCTCTCTTGTCTGTATTATAATTGATCAAGTGAGACCTAGGCCACTTTAACACACATATTCTCTCCTTAGCACCTGCCCTCTGAAAGATTCCTTGTTAAGACAGGGATTATGGTCAAGAAAAGCCTCTTTTTGTTTCCATGGAAGTCATTTTCCAATTGCCATAATGGTTTTGCTCTTCTTTTCGATTACTCCTGGGGCAACCCCGAGCCAACAAACAAATGTGCAAATGAGCACAGGAACCCAAAACTATTGTTCCGAACCCCTTTTTGTTTTAATGACTACGTCACCCCCACCTGTCACAAAGATCTGCACAGCTGAGGATGCCATTGTACTAGGTTGAATATAGATTGGTTATTTTGTTTGGGACAAGGTCCTCAATGAGTTCATTATTTTAAAGCTTATTGTAGAAGACTAAGCTCCTCTACCTAGTCTTGCGAGAGACATTTTTTGTACAAGGAGAAGCAACAGAGTGGCTTTGTTCTCTTATAAAAGAGGAAGAAGTGATGTCAAAACTGAGTTAATAGCCAAGACTTTCTAAAAATAGTCTCTCATTGCTTTTTGAAAATGTTCATCTATGTGCGTGCAAAAAAGGGAACGAACCATTAAAAATGTCATTTAAAAAAATTATACCTCAAATATTGAATGTTCCAAAACTGTTGCTTAGCAATTATATTACAGTTTACATTAGAGTGCATCTTTGATAAGGTTAGTTGGAGAGCATGTGGGATAACAAAACCAAATCTCGACTCTGGAGCTTGACTCTTTGATAGTTTTAGAATGTGTTTTTATAAAAGCTTATTTTTGGAACATACCTGTTGTGAGAATCCACAGAAGAACTGGTATAAAAACTGTGGTAAAATGAAACAGAGGTTCTAGAAAAATCAGAGACAAATTTTAGTAGAAAAGCATCTTATGTACTATATCAGTTTGATATTTAAAGATAAATCTGAATTATGCTTCATATTTATTATATTAACAGATAGAAAACGTTTAGGGCTAAAAATCTGGCTACGGACTATGAAGCTAATACTACCTGGATTGTAACCATCTTTTTGCAGCTATGGAAACACAAAGGCTGTGTCTACATTGGCAAGATTTAGCACAAAAGCGCCTGCTTTTGCGCAAAATCTTGCCGCCTGTCTACAATGGCCGTGAGTATTTGTGCAAGAACACTTACGTTCTACTGTATGAAATCAGTGCTTCTTGCGCAAATACTCTGACGCTCCTGCACAGGGATAAGTCCTCTTGTGCAAATGTTCTTGCACAAGAGGCCAGTGTAGACAGGTAACATCAATTTCTTGCGCAAGAAAGCCCGATGGCTAAAATGGCCATCGGAGCTTTTTTGCGCAAGAGAGCGTCTACCCTGGCACGAATGCTTTTGTGCAAAAGCAAATCTTTTGTGCAAAGGCACATGCCAGTATAGACGCTCTCATACTCAAACACTCTAATGCAAAAACTCTTGCATTTAGAGTATTTGCGCTAAATCTTGCCAGTCTAGACGTAGCCAAACAGTACAGCTTTAACATTTACAGGAGACACTGGAACAAACCCTATAGAAGATTGACTCACAAACTGTGTACAACCAGTGATGGTTGTAACTATACTATACTATACTATACTATACTATACTATACTATACTATACTATACTATACTATACTATACTATACTATACTATACTATACTATACTATACTATACTATACTATACTATACTATACTATACTATACTATACTATACTATACTATACTATACTATACTATACTATACTATACTATACTATACTATACTATACTATACTATACTATACTATACTATACTATACTATACTATACTATACTATACTATACTATACTATACTATACTATACTATACTATACTATACTATACTATACTATACTATACTATACTATACTATACTATACTATACTATACTATACTATACTATACTATACTATACTATACTATACTATACTATACTATACTATACTATACTATACTATACTATACTATACTATACTATACTATACTATACTATACTATACTATACTATACTATACTATACTATACTATACTATACTATACTATACTATACTATACTATACTATACTATACTATACTATACTATACTATACTATACTATACTATACTATACTATACTATACTATACTATACTATACTATACTATACTATACTATACTATACTATACTATACTATACTATACTATACTATACTATACTATACTATACTATACTATACTATACTATACTATACTATACTATACTATACTATACTATACTATACTATACTATACTATACTATACTATACTATACTATACTATACTATACTATACTATACTATACTATACTATACTATACTATACTATACTATACTATACTATACTATACTATACTATACTATACTATACTATACTATACTATACTATACTATACTATACTATACTATACTACTAATGATATGTTTAAATCCCCCCCCAAAAAAGACAAAAAAGTATTAGAAAACAAACTTTAGTGGATTTGTGTCAATATTAAAGGGGCAAAGATACTTGAATAATACTCAATGAAACAACTTTATTGGTTGAATGGAAGTCCTTACCTTATAGAAGAAATACTGTACAAGGTGTGCTATTCTCACGTAATATAAATGTCCGTGCACTAGTAGCAATTTTCTTAAATGCTTAAACTTTGGAACAGCGTAGTCACTGTTTCTGGCTGCTTGACGGCCTTCTTTGCCTTTTATACCTGAACAACACATACATGGGGTGAGCAATTCACAGGGCACTTTGGAATGCAGATTCCAACCAAGCTATGTGATATGCCAACATGGCTTCACCTTTCCAATGCCAATAAAAACTACATCAGAAAGAATTTCTGATTTAAACGACGTGTACATGAAGGAAGTACTTGTTACCCCTGCAAGAATCCCTCTGTGCTTGGCAGACTGCCATTCAAAACAACAGTGCTGTTCTGTGGTTGAGGGCACCAGGCAGGTGAACGAGGAGACAAAATCCTAACACTCCTTGGGATCATGGCTATCCTTCACAAAAATAAAGTCTTTTGTCTTTAAGTTCTTATCCAGCAGGCTCTATAAAATAAGCTGCAAGGGAGGCAGTTTATTATATGGTTTAAGGGCAGGGTTGAGTTTTGCCTGCATCAGCATGGGCATTTAAACATGTGGTTCCACACATTCCAGTAATTTCACTCCAGATGTTTGGATGACCACACCCATCGTCCCTTCTATAGCTATGCTCAAGACAGCTGGTTTTGTTCAACTGACAGGCATATTCTGCGAATTACAAAGGAAGCTGCATGAGAAAACGCTTCCATTCATTGGAGGACAATGAGACATTTCAATCACCAAGAAGGATGACCCTATCTTTTCTCTTCTATTTTACCTTCCCCAATGACACTCACATTCCTCTAATGTTTCTACTATCTCTGGCAGCACTGGAGAAAAATATAAGAATGTCTCCAAGGTGAGATCAGTCAAAAGAAAGGGGCAAACACATCAACATCCTTGGAAATCCATCTTTGGAAAGTACATTTTGATCTATAGTGGTGAATGACAGCCAGCAGTTAACCGCAAAAAGACTATAGGCCAATTTCAGCCCAGCTGGGCTAATTAGGTGCTAATCCATAATCCCTGAATTTGACCCTGGATTTTTTGAATGGAAAACAGCTTATTTATTTATAAACAGGCAACTTGCTAAAAATAAAGGTTGCCCATGTACCTTAAGCAAGAAGTAAATATTTTCCGACGGAGAAACCCTGGCTCTTTAGCAGTCAATGGCAAAACTCTCATTGACTTCAATGGGCCAAGTTTGTAACCTTTAGCATTCACAGTTACTCTATTTTACTAACATTTTAAAAATCCTGTCACCAAAACTCTTAAGAATTGGTTTCTCGTCTTGCAGTCATGGTAAGATGGAACATGTTCAATGCCTTTTATTGGACCACTATGTAATATTTTCAGCAGCGTGTGCGCAGGAAATGAAACAAGTGCTCCCCGTTAACAGAACTGAACTAAGGGTATGTCTACACTAGCCCCCTCGTTCGAACTAGGGCTTTATTTCGAACTACCGGGTCCCTGCTGTGTGTAGACGCAGGCAGTTAGTCCAGACTTGTAAATTTCAAAAATGGCGACCATCCGGGAAGATGCAAATCAAGCGCGGGATATTTAAATCCCGGGCTTGATTTGCAACTTTGAATGCCTACATTAGCCTCCCTAGTTCGAACGACTTGTTATTCCTCCTGGAATGAGGTTTAACAGGTAGTTTGAACCAGGGCTTTATTTCGAACTACCGGGTCCCTGCTGTGTGTAGACGCAGGCAGTTAGTCCAGACTTGTAAATTTCAAAAATGGCGACCATCCGGGAAGATGCAAATCAAGCGCGGGATATTTAAATCCTGGGCTCGATTTGCAACTTTGAATGCCTTCATCAGCCTCCCTAGTTCGAACGAGGGGGCTAGTGTAGACATACCCTAAGTGTGCAGAGTCCTGTCATACCCTGGAAGCATTAATGCTAAATCCTTGATGCACCTGAAATATCTTTAAACACAAAGGCTATGTCTAGACTGCAGGCTTCTTTCGAAAGAGGCTCTTTCGAAAGCATCTTTCGAAAGAGCCTCTTTCAAAAGATCGCGTCTAGACTGCAGGCGGATCTTTCGAAAGAGAAATCCGCTTTTTCGAAAGAGAGCACCCAGCGAGTCTGGATGCTCTCTTTCGAAGACGGCCTCTTTACATTGAAGAACGCCTTCTTTTGAAAGAGGAACTTTCGAAGGAAGGCGTTCTTCCTCGTGAAACGAGGTTTACCGCCATCGAAAGAAAAGCCGTGTTCTTTCGAAATAATTTCGAAAGAACGCGGCTTGAGTCTGGACGCAGGGGAAGTTTTTTCGGGAAAAGGCTACTTTTCCCGAAAAAACCCCTGAGTCTGGACACGGCCATAGCTCTACACCGGGGGTGGGCAATAAGAGGCTTGCAAGTTAGACTCAGTTCATCAGGGTTAGCCCCTGGCAGGCCCCTAGATGATTTATTTTCCTGCACGGCCAAAGTAATGGCTATTCGCAATGCTCACTGGACATGATTCACCGTTTCCAACCAATGGAAGCTGTGGGAAGGGTGGTACAGCCCTACTGCTTCCCGTAGCTCCCACTGGCTGGGTACAGCGAATAACAGCCAATGGGAGCAGTGAACAGCCATACACGTGGCCGCACAGGTAAATAAAGCATCTAGCGGCCTGCCAGGAGCTAACCCTGATGAACCGCGTCTGGCCCGTGGGCCATTCATTGCCCACCCCTGATGCAGAACCGTGTGTTTAAAGATACTTCAAGTGCATCAAGAATTTAGCCTTAATGCTTCTGCGGGCTGATGGGGCTCCTGCTTTATTCAATGGGAGTTTTGTCATTGACTTCATTGGGAGCAAGGTCAGGCCATGTGAAAACAAGCAAAGGTGTTCGCTGACCATCTCCCTCAACAATAGCTTGTTTTTTTTTCTGCTCCCCTGACAATAGGGAGGGTGGGGGAGTTGGATTCCGTGATTTACACCTCTGCCCCCCCTTCACCAGCCAGGAGTGAGGCATGCATGGAACCCAAGCACTTTCCCCTCGTTCCCTTATCGTCAGGGGAATGGGAAGAAATGCAAGTTGCATCCCGGTGCACATGGCTGCTACCCACTCTGCTTTCTTGAAATTCCGCCCCGGCCTAGCACATTATATCTATTTTGTATTTTACATATTTTCTTCTTAGGAGGAGGCAGTGTGGTCTAATGGTCTGAGATTCCTGAGACGTAAGGTCTATTCCCAGCTCTGTCATTGGCCTGTTGGGTGACCTTGGACAAGGTCACAGCCTCGCTCCGTGCCTCAGTTTCCTCAGCTGTAACAAGGAACTGATGATACTGACCTCCGTTGCAAAGCGCTTTTAGTGCTATGGATGGAGAGAGCTGTATGAAATCGAGGGATTATGGTGTCTACATATTTCTCACCTATTCCAACATGTGCTTCCAAGATCATGCTAACATCGTTGGCGCCATCTCCTACTGATAGTGTTATTGGATTGCCCTTTGTGTTTTTCACCAGTCTAACGATCTAAAAAATTAAATACAGAACAGGTCAGCAGAAATGCCCAAAGATTCGACTGCCTCCAGTTTGATGGAGAGGAGGCCCTTTCCCCACCTCCGACAAGTAAGCATGAGTAACTTGTATTCTGCAGCAGGAAAATAAGGCCTAGACAGTTTGATTTGGATTGGTGGAACCATGTCACCTTGTCCTTTCAAGCATTCTTGAGTAACGCAGCACATACAATACTGCCCAGGAGACAACAGCCTCACAAGTCTTTTTCTGGTTGACAAAAATAACTCCAGTCAGTTTTTCAACAAATTGATTCAAACTAATTCACACAGGGCTGAGACTCAGTGCAGCCTTTGCTTTAAATCCTGCCAGGATTTTTTAGTTTTCCTCAAAGCCCAGCCACCCAACCAGATCCAATTCCAGTTAACGCGACCAAACTGCAGAAGGTCTTTTTTATCCCCTCTTCTCCCTTTTGCAGCTTAAAATAGAGACCTTAAATAATCCCACTGAAGCCAATGGGAATTTTACCAATATCATCACCAACGGCTGGCACTAGGACTCGCTTTGTAGAGCTGAAATGCTTGGATTTAAATCAGCAGAGCCCTTCCTTCCATTCCAAAGGTCAGATTCTGCCTCTAGGTACAAGGATGTGACTTTGACTCCCACGTGTTTCATGTGGCACTAGGTCATACAGCATGCTGGTCACATCTTAGGTACCTAGAGCAGTGCAGGAAGTATACTACTTATAGCCTGTTTGATACTACCAGCTGGAGATGTCATAAAATCCAATTCTCAAAACTTGAAATGAAAATCAATGGATCAATCAGTTTGTCCCTTTATTTATAGGTAAACTGAACTTCAAAGCTTTTGTAAAAAATAGTCCCAGGAAACAGTAAATACATCTATGAAATACTGTGGCACAAATATACCAAAGCACAGAAAAGGCTCCTAACCCAGCCAAACCCCCGCCCCCCCAAAAAATCCCTACAACCAAAAAAAAAAAAAAAAAAAATCCAACCAATAATCAAAAAAGCAAGTCAAGTAAGCAAATTCTGATCTATTTCCCGGTTCAGGAGATAGTTTGTTAAATCAAAGTCATCAGAGGATTTATAATAGACGGGCTGAAATACCTCTGGCTGCATGTGTCTCAGAAAAGGAAATAAGATAATACTTGCTGAAGGTCCAGCTGCATGGTACATGTTTTTCAAACTTCCATGATTTTCCCTTTTTCTAAAACAAATCAAGAGGTTCTACAGGTATATTGCAAGCCAGCTTTCCTCTAAGGGCACATCTACACTTCCGGCAAGATCAACGCTCCAGAGATCGATCTTCTGGCATTCGATTTATCTGGTCTGGTAAGGACCTGCTAAATAGAATGCTGAAGGTCCCCCCAACCGTTAACTCCTGAACTTTTTGCAGTTGCGAGGAGTAAGGGAAGTTGACAGGAGAGTTTCTCCCTTTGACGTCCCACTGCCCCAGAAAATCAATGCAAGATACATCGACTCCAGCTACACAATTCATGTAGACCTGGCCTAGGGTGTTCTCACATGCAGAGCAACCACTTAGCCTTGCTTCCTGTGGAAACCCTCTGCATCTAGACAATACACGTTCCAAAGAAATGTCTCTTCTTAGGGATCAGAAGACAGATGCTTCAGCTCTACACTGACTTACAGCCCTTCCATCATGTATTCATCACCTCTGAAAAATGAGATCACTGTATAGAGCAGCTAAATATGGATTCTGGTGATTTGAGTTATGATCCAAACTGGTGTGTTACTTTTAACTACTGGAGTGTACTGCAAGTAACACGACACAGCATGTAGCTGCTGCAGCCAACGAAACCAGCCCATCAGTCTATTTTATAGCACCAGCGCTGTCCTTAGGATTTGAGGCCCCTTTTTTTAGTGCTATTAACCTGGTGCCCCTATGCCTGATGGTAGCCAAGGGGGGGGGGGGGGGGGACGACAATTTTTTAGAGATGTGATTTTAAAATCTTCAGCAACACACTAATGAAATATTTTTAAAGCAAATTTTAAACTCAGGTCCTGTAGACTAACACAGCAAATTCAGAACATGATAGTATATACCTGGGGTTGGCAACAGGGATGTAAAATCCATTTAAAATAATTAACCAAATAAACGATTTGTTTAATCATTTAGCCTCCGGCCGTGGGCAGCGGGGGCTGCTCCAGCCCTGCTATCCCACCATGGCCAGGGTTCTGCTGGCTGGGCCACTGTGGGC